TGACGGGGCTTTGTCCCGTTTACATCCGGTTCTCGCTCTTGAGTGTTTGCCTGTAAATCAGCCGAGATATGTCTTATTTTATAACATAAATAACATAAATAACATAAATTTCACAATCCTCCCTTTGATCCTTGTTAGATACATTTTTTTTTTTATCAGAATCTTTCAAGAGTGTGCGACTTGTTGGCGGTGAAAACATTGACCAGGGTTTTGCTGAGTATTATTACAATGGCAAATGGAATGGTGTATGTTCAAAAAGTATCTGGTCAAAAAAGGATTCTACAGTTATATGTCGTGAATTAGGATATCGGTAAGTGAACTTAACATATTTGTTTTATCATAAACTCATTACCAAAATGAGCTAGTTAGAAATCCATGCAGAAGTATACCGGTAATGAAATTGTATATTTTTGTTTGAATTGGAATAACTGGAGTTCAATCGGTTATGTACCATGCGTGATATACACTTAGGTGATCATGTATCTTTCGATGCATGACTGACGAGGCAGATTTTTTTCCTGCAGTAGGTTGCCATTTCTTGCTGTGGTAGACCTGTTGCCATCTGGTCTGTCCTGCTATTTACCCATAGCTAGGGGGAGGAGAAGAGGATTCATACCTTTCCAAAGGGTATTAGCACGTAAGTGAAATTCGAACTCTGCTCTCTGATTCCTCAATACAAGTCGCTATCTATTACTCTGCCATAGGGTGGGGAGGCATGGTGGAGTAATGGACAGCGGCTCCATTGAGGAATTGGTGAGCCGAGTTTGAATTCCATTTGAATTCATTACTTACGTGCTAATACCCTTGGGAAAGGTATGAATCCTCTTCTTCTCTCCCCCCAAGCTATGGGTAAATAGCAGGACAGACTGGATTCTACAGCCTTGGATGGCAACTGGTCTACCACAGGAAGAAATGGCAACCTACTGTGGGGGAAAAAAATCTGCCTCATCAGTCATGTATCGAAAGATACATTATTGCCTTAGCGTGTATCACGCATGGCACATAACTGGCTGTTTGTTCTCATCTTCATATTCATGATGTTTCAGCCATTGTACGCTCCAGCCTTCTTCAGATGATATACAGTAGAATTTAGAAACTGAACCCTTTTAGTCCATGGGGGTAGACACATGACCCAGTAGATAAGTGTTGGTTGAAGTAAGCCAGTGACTTGACTCAGAGTTGTGAGTTCAATACCTGGCCACAACAGAGGTGAACAAAAACTTGGAGAGTTTAATAACTAAAGGGAATTAACTGAAACTGAGATACCCAGAAAAGGCATGGCATGTGGAACTAGAACAGTCTACCCACGTGGACTAAGAGAGTTTGGCTTGAAATTCCAATGTATATCACCTGAAGAAGGCTGGAACATATAACAACGAAAACGTTGTGAATATGACAATAAAGATGACGACAGTCTGAACAATGTAAACAGTGTAATAGTTACAATACCTCATCTTGGAAATATAGACATAATTAATGCTACTGCTTTTCTTTCGAAATAAGTGATAAAAGCAGTGCATAATGTTGCAGATGGCATAAACTTAGAAATATCTTCAGGTCAGGTGACATAGTTTGCCCAGATGGTTTCCGACTGAGGGTGTTCCCAAGTATCTAGATGTGACTCTCCAAATCACTTTGGCTGCCTCATCCTTCAAACTTAAAAAAAAAAAACTCTGACCCAAACCATGATGTTCACCTATAATTTCCATCAATGAAAAGAGATTAACAGTGTATCAGCCGCTAGGAAACTGATAAACAAATATATGGTACTGAATGGGATATTTGACCTAATATAAAAAGTGTCAAATGTTTTGGTAGTTAAAGTTCTTTGTCAGATTGTAGAATGCATTTCTGTGATTGATTTGTGTTTTTATGGCTTATCAACCTTTTGCAGGTTATTTGAAAGCCAGAAAATAATTTTTATATTGTAAGAATTTTTTGAGATAATGATTTACTGATGGAAGTCTTACTAATTAACCCATATCTGGGGGAGAAGAGGTGAATTCCTACCTTTTCCAAGGGTATTTGTGCATAAGTAAATAGAATAAATCCAATTAGAATTGGAACTCGGTTCTCCACATTTCTGTGAGAATTACATTTTGCCATCATAAAATATCCAGTACAGTACCACAGATCTTCTCATCAAAATAAAACAGTTATCTGTGAATCTGTGAAAACCTCCAATCAATTAAGATCAGGAGCTGTGTTATTTTTTCATTAGTGTTGTTAAAATGCCTTTTTGTTAGGAAACATTTTCAGTTGATCCATTTAGAATAAATGAATAGTACAAAAATTTAAATATGTATGAAGTGTTATAACAGAGGATGTAAAGTGCAACACCAAAATCCAAAGACACATTGGAACAGGGAAAGATGCCTTCTAAAAGCTAAGCAATGTATTTAGAAACAAAGAAAAGAAACTGAACAGTTACGTAATATCACTCCCTTGATTACAACTGCTGTCCTTAGTATGATGATAAAGTACATCTGCATCCTGTGTAAGACAATAAACTATGCCAAACAGCAAGGCCTCTGGTCATGAGGTTTTGAGGAGTGTGGAACCACCTCTTAGTTGCTGATGTTCCCAGGTCCACCCTGACCTGGGGTGGTAGCACCTGTTAGGGTTCTAGCCATGGGAAAATAGTTAACTCACAAACTGGGGTCAAAACCCTATGAAAAAATAGGTTTTAGTACCAGAAATACTTTGTAAAAAAATTATTACCAGCAAATAAATTTTTGAAGAAAAAATTATTACCAGCAATACATTTTTGAAAAAAAAAAAATTACCAGTGATAAAAAATTTTGTTGGCATTCAATAACCCATTGAGGTTCATATGACATAAAACAAACCATCAATTACAACTGAATAGTAAGTTTGATCCTTATTAGATGTTTCATGATTCCGGCCTTGTGCCACAAGTAAGCTATGCTTATTAGAATCAATCTTATATGGCAGTGAATGCTGGACACTCTTTTCACGGATGAAAAACGGACTAGTCAACAGCAATGTGCTTCTACAGAAAGATGCTGAAAATCCCATGGACTGAATGAGGAAGTTTCAAGGAAAAATGGCAACAAAAGACACTTATGTTTAGCATCAGAAAGAGAGTTGAAATTTCTAGGGCACATAATGAGGAAAAAGGACTTGTAGAATTTGACACTCACAGGACACATTGGCGGCAAAGGGGAAAGACAAAAGAAACAAAAACCAATCTGATAAGTTTGAGTAAATGGTTGGTAGAACAGAGATAGCAAAACAAAAAATCAAATCTAAGAACTACAAAGGACAAGAAGTTGTGGAGAGCCATGATTGCTCATGTCATGAAGGGATATAGCACATAGAAGATTGTGATATCCATAACCCATGTTCTTTCATTTAAGAGACGTATAAATCCCAAATAGAATAATGGGGCAAATGAGTCTCTTTGAAGAATTTCTAATGTTGATTTTCAAAAATCATTTCCTCCAAGCATGAAGATAAAGCAACTAAAATGCAAAGGGTTAATGTTTGAGGCTAAATGTAGTATTCCATTTGTTCATATTGATTTTTAAAGAATTAAACAGTCAGGAAAATGTTTATTAATTGCAGTGACTTTATTATCCAGTCAAGACAATTTTTTTATTGTCTGTCTGAAACATTTTGATAGTTTTCAAGGCAATTTCAGACCAAAAAAATTTCAAAAATATATTAAAGAAATTTAACATTTTAATTCAGTTTTTTAGACAAAAAATTTTTGTATAAAATACAATAAAATTACGTTTTTCAAGGTATTTTTTTTTTTTATCTATTCATGCATAGCTTTGGTTGGGCACCTCGATGTTGTGTAAGGGTCAGCAAGCGTGTCTCGCTAGAATAATTACAACTGTTTAGTAAGTTTGACCCTCACTGGGTGCCCCATATTTTCGGCCTTGTGCCACATCTAAGCTGCACTTAAAAAAATTACCTTATTTTTTTGAACGGCAGTTTTCCAGCAACATCATGTTGAGCAGCAACAGTAAGAACGTTTTTGCATTATTTCTTTTTCTTTTTTTCATAGAAAATATTACTGTTTTAAGGGTGTTTTGTTTTTTTGATGAGCGTTTTGTATTTTGTGAATAAATGTCTGATTAGATGTTAATTTGGCAGGGACCTGACAGTGCCATCAGCTTTGGGGATTCCTTGGAGTAGCCATTCTGTGTTTTGTATTGTTTTTGTTATTGCTAGCATTTGAAAACAGATCTGACAATGATTTGTTTGCTTATTGGTATCTAGTAATGATTCCTATCATAACAATGGAATATCTCATTACTAAGTGACTGATAAATTTATAAAGTCACCTTATTTTATACAAGGTGCAGCAGAAATACCTCCCACATATTGATGTCTAAAATGCTGTAGGTGATCACCTGTGGGTGAATGGTCCAAAATCAAAGAGATCCATGGCATCATGCCATTTCCCAGTCTTGTTTGTTAAAACAGTTGTACTAAGTCTGAGGAGTCCATTATTTTCTGTCATGGCTAAAAGTAAGTGGTCCGGCTCCTTTCTTCACAACTACATGTGAAGAAGTGGATTTGTTTTTGAAGTTACCATTTAGCCTACCTAAAGAGGTAGGAGCTACAAAATAGCAGGTGTTTTAAATTCAGTTTTCCTTCTCCTAGACTGGTTGCCAACCTGCCCTGCTATTTACACATAGTTGTTTGGGGGGGGGGTAGATGGATTTATACCTTTCCCAAAAGTATGCAATGAACTCAACTGGAAATCAAACTTGGTTTTCCAATCCGAGCCACTATCCATTACTCCACTAGGCATGCACCCTCCCACATTAGTGGCAATGATGTTCACATTTAGCTAATTTCTTACCATTTATATGGGAAGTATTTCTGCTACAATCTGTATGACAATATTTTTTATGTTATTTTTTTCATTGAGTTTCAACAATCATTAGAAAAAATGATATATTTTTTATTCATCTTTCAATCTCAATTTTTTTTCTTCTTTTTCCCTGGCAATGAACTCTTAATAATTGGTTTAAAATGCACAACTGCATATAATGATTTTACTAATTTTGTTTACATATTTAATTTTCACATTGCATATATTTTGAAACATCTCTTGTAATGGATCAACAAATACAGAATATAAACAAATATATCCAAACAAGTTTGATAAAATAACATTGACATGGTTTGACTATTCAACTTTTTATATTATCTTTCTAATTTCTGTGACTGAGGTGTTCTACATCGGAATTAAAATTGTTAAACTGTCCAAAGACTATTTTTTCTTTTGTGACCTTTGAGTACTTTCAACTGTCATTGTTGAGAATTGTGAGTTCTCAGTTAAGCAAGATGTATTTAACTAAATTCTGGCATTTTTAGATCACTGGAATTAGAATTTAAGTCAATTAAAGATAACATTATCTGCATTGATAACACACACACATACATACACATATAGGAGGCACGTGGTGAAGTAGTGGGTAGCAGCTCAGATTGAGGAATCTGAGAGCCGAGTTTGAATTCCAATCCATTACATTCACTTAAGTGCTAATGCCCTTGAGAAAGGTATTAGTCCTCTTCTTCTTCCAGTTATGGTTAAATAGCAGGATAGACAAGGTTCTATAGTCTTGGATGGCATCTTGTCTAGGAGAAGGACAATTCTGAATTAAAAACTTGCACAGTGTCGTTTGCGAGCCTCGTGGCACATAGTGCACTAGGTCTCTGTATTCAGCCCTTCAAAAAGTGTGGTTGATTCTGCACAAAGCCTTCACCACTATTATCAAATCATGTGTGCTGGTGTCTGGGCTGTCGGTTCCTAGGAACTGAGCTGCTTGACCCTCATATGTCAAATATGACAGGAGAGTCCACCATAAATACATTCTATCTGACATTTTACATATATATCTGTAAAAGGACAATATAAATAAAGATGAAACAAAAACTTAACTTAGCCGATGTGTTTCAAAGTATGAGAGACTTTATCAAGGAAAGAATCAAATGAATTTTTTCAGCACATTTTCTTAAATCTCTTGAAAAGGCAAGGCTAGTAGATGAAATTTAACCTGTTTATAAAAGTATGCCATCTACTCAAACATGGTTATTCATCAAATAACATTTGTAGTAGTAGTAAAAAATATATATTTTCACGTTTACTTCTATAATAACACCATTAACTTTTTTTTTCTTCTACTTCTATTTTTACTTCTATAATAACACCATTAACTTTTTTTTCCAGCAATTACTCTTATTTTGTATATATAATTTTTTTCTTTTTTTTTTTTTTTTTAAAAAAAATCAGTGGAAGTGGATGGAATTCCTCAAAAACAAAAGTGGTACAAACTGTTCGATCCAACATAAAGAGTGTTAGCTGTCTTGGCTATGAAGGTTCTCTGTCAAATTGTAGAATGCATTTCTGTGAGAATTGCATTTGCCATTACAATCCATTGGTCGATTGCTCTAACACCAGTAAGTAGCAAAAGTTTTCATTCATTTTTACTTTTGTCTTGTTTTTCTTTTTTATTTCATGTCCATTTGTAACCCCCAAGTTGTCGATCCTAATCAGTGGTAACCACCAATGTAATGCCACTGTCTGCTCTCAAGTTCCTTCAGACTACTATGGTTACCATTTTGCTGATTCTTCACTTATTAGTACATGACTTGTTTTGTCACTGGTATTGTGATGATGGCATGGTTCTACTCAACTCAGCTGACATTTATCTGTTCATGACTATTCACTCTTCTGCCACATTGTGTTTTTGATCTCAGAGTGGGAAGATTGCTGATGAAGCAGACTAGAGTAAAAACTGGTCTGACAATAGGACTTAGACAAAAAACAAGAATCCTTTGGAATAAAGAATAATTAACTCAGGTTAAAAATGTAACAAAGATTTGGTTTATATATGATTTGTTGTACACAACAGTTTTAACCCTTCCCACTCATTGTTACAATCAAATGACACTGGGATCCCCTTCGGAGTCAGCAGCTTGTTTTAGTAACTCAAATTTATAATTTCTTGTCTTTATAGCTGGCACAAGGCCTTGTTTAGGAGGTCTTGGCAAACGATGTGGATTCCAGTAACAGTAGTGTGGGGACTCTCTCTGTGTGAGTCCCAGCTGTCCAAAATTTCCAACTTATATGGAGCCCTGTAAGGGTGGGGTTGACTATAGTCTGGGTTCATTTGTCTTCTACCATAAGCATCAACCTTTTCTATATTCCCATATACAGAAATACATTTACTCAAGTAGTTTTCCAAATTTGGAGTTGTCCAGCTTGCTTTTTGAGTGTTCAAAAGGATTAAGCCCCCTCCCCAAACTCCAACTGTCTTTACACCTCACCTTGCACCATAGCTCCATATAGGTGATGCTAATCTCTCTCTCTCGCTCACTTCTCCCATTTTCTCAGCAGCCAACTCAGCCCACTCCCAGGTCTGGTGTGACAAATCCAGCTTCAAGAGGGCGCAGTGGAAACAAAAGGGATTTTCAATCATTAATCCTTCTCGATCATCTTGCCCCATGTTGGGATCTCTTGATCAACCAGACCACTCAAGAATTTGTAAAAGAAAGAAAAATTATTTCCACACTCCTGAAAATTAAAGTTTATCTTTTCTCTATGTATTTTTTTATGATCAAACAGACCACACAACCTTTTTATCCATAGTCATTTCAAAATAGTAATTAATTTTTTATATATAAAATTTTCTTTTGACAATTGTCACAGAAATTATAATGAAGAACATGTTCAGTTGACCTCTCTCTGTGTGGATACTTCTCTTCTGGGTGGCTGATTCAGAACAGATGTTTTTTTCTAACCCTTTTTTTATTTTGTCCAAAGGAATCGTGAATGTTATTTATTTTGGTGACCATGCTGGTCTCTTTATTGACAAATGTTTTTATTTTATCTGACATCTTTGTGGATACCCTAATGTTTTTTTCTTATCAGTAGGAATTTAGAAAGGATGGGTAGTCTTAGTTTTGCTCAATCTTATTGAATTCCATTTAATTAAATTTGGGTTCAGATCTACTTGGAATTATTTCAAAACATGATTTTTTTAATGCATTTTCTTTCTAATTTTCTTAACTTTTCAATCCATCTTCCTACAAATTTCAACAATCACAATCCAGTTAGAAAAGAGGAGGAGGAGAGAGAGTCTACTTTTTCCTTTTTTGTTTGATCAACCTCCAGAGATCTGTGTCACACCTTCAGGACTTAGGTGATCAGGCTGGAAAGTATTGAGAAGATATCTTCACTCTCTGCATTCAGATTTCAGTTTGTTTGCTTGGAAAGAACCTGAACAACTGTACTGATGACTTGTTTTGAGTAAGTTTTGAAAAGGCACAGTGCAAAGTTGTAGTTAAAAATGTTTCATAACCAAAGAGTGTTTTTTTTTTTTTTTTTTTTTAAGCTTTGACCTTCAAGTCTGACTTAGATTTTGTGAAAAAAAATTAGTTCTGATACCACCCTGCCATTCTACCTCATGCCCCCCTTGAATTTTTCCACTGCCTCCCACGTTGGGAATAACTGTACAATTATTCAATACTTTTGCCTTAAATTCCATGAAGAATGAAAATAAGTTTATAATTAACAAAATTCAATTAGAAATCTCACATTAAGTTTAAAATTCAATAACATATGTAATACAGTTGGTTAGCAAATTTTAAACAATTTGTTTACAAGATGACATGGAAAAAGTTTTTCTCTGATGATAACCAGACTCATAATTTCTTGTTGAGAAGGAGAGATTATTCATCAATCAAGTCATATTTACAAAGAATTGATGACCACTTTTAGTTTTATTTTTGCTATCAAGTATACAGAGTCTGAGTGTCTTTTTAAATTTCCCTTCTCAGATAAGTTTCCTTCTAAAATAGAGAACAATTTTGTTTTTCATGTCTTGTCCCTTCAGAATATAGCTAATCATAAGTCACCACAGATTTTTTTTTCTTTATTTGTGTTCACACTCCTTTCCATCTTTTGAACAGGAGTAGAGGTTTATCTCTTGTTTCCTGTTTAGGATTCGGTTTCTAGTTCCTTCTAAAGTCTGCTCATATTATTTCACTCCCAGTAGCCACTTGCATCTTAGTGGCATTATCACCTTGCTTGGGGGTGAAATGATAATTAAAAAAAATTGCTATTCATTCTTGGGAAAGATAGTGAAGGTTTTTCTTGTTGCCTTCTCCACACTATGGAATTCAGAGTGTTCATTCAGAATGATTGCCACCTAAGGCTAAAGTATCCAGTCTACCTTACTATTTAACCTATCCTATCAATTTCACTTTTTGCACTGATAACCCTAGCCACATATAACTATTTTCTTCTGCATAATTATCATAGTTTTTTTTAAGATTCACAATTTAAGGAATCAAAATAGAATGCTACAATTTTGATCAAAAGTCTTTACTCAGGTTTCATGACATTCAATACCTTTTTGTTTCATGGTTTATTCTTACACTCTCAAATTTGACTTTCACTTGAAACTTTCAGTCTGATGTTTTACCATTGAAGAACATTTAATAAATTATACTCTTTATTTCATAGACTGTGCCTCTTCCCAACGTCCTTGCCCTGTGAAGGAAAGTGGGACTTACACAAGACAAGGTTACAAGAGAGACACATGTATAGCAAAAGAATTTTTCTGCGATGGTGAACAAGACTGTCCTGGAGGAACAGATGAAGAAAACTGCCGTAAGTATTTTAAGATTCATAATTAGATTGAGAAGGAACTAAGCATAAACTACAAGAAGACAGAATGCATGGTCATCAGTAAAAGGATGAGCCCCAAATGCGATTTGCAGGTTGGGAACACTAGAATCAAGCAGATGCAGAAGTTTAAATATCTGGGAAGCGTCTTGACATAGGATAGTAAGTGTGACACTGAGATACATAGATGCATTGGGATGGCCAAGGACACATTACAAAAGCTGGGCAGAGTATTGTGAAACAGGAGGGTTTCTTTGGTAACAAAGAAAAGAATACTGAGTTGTCCTTCTTTATAGCAGTGAATACTGGAGGATTTCATCAATGATGAAGAAGAGACTCTAGGCGACAGATGTGGTTCTACAGAAGGATATCACGGACAGAGCATGTGAGCAACAACGAGATCTTAGAGAGGATGCAAACAAGGAGGAGGCTTATACTTAACATCAGGAAGAGGCAGCTGAAGTTTCTGAGACACATAATGAGGGCTGAATAGAGGGAAAGAGAGACAAAGGAAAACGACGCATGACATACCAAGTGGTTGACAGAACGTGGTCTGGGGGATGTAGCAGAGGGAAGGAACTTGTTGAGAGCTGTAAGGGATAGAGGGAAGTGTGGAGAGCCATGATCACCTACGTCTTGAAAGGTCATGGCACATATAAAGAAAAATTCTGAATGTGTATCTTTTTTTAGTTGATTTTTTTATCAATACTTGTTACCTGAGTCACCAAGATAGGTTTGAACATTTGAATGTTTTATTGATATATCAACTTTAAGGGTAATGAACACCTGATGCAGGTAAATTCAAAACGGTATAATAAAAACAAAACATTTTGTGCTGTTCATTCCTAATATTAGACATATATTTCTGCAGGTAAAAGTAATCAACTGTAGTCTGCATCATAGTCAGTGTGAACAACCCTTTCCTTAGCTGTATTGTGCTTTGCCAGTGTTACATATAGATTTTAATTCAGTATTCCTAATTCTAGACTGGTTGCCATCCAAGGCTATAGTACCCAGTCTGTCCTGTTTAACCATAGCTGGGGGGAGAAGTTGGATTCATTTAGCAGATAAGTGAATATAATGAAAAACATATGTCTATTTCCAGGCCAATGCAATGCTAGTGAATTTCAATGCCTTAATAAAAAGTGCATTCTAAAAAGTCAACGCTGTGATGGTGTGAGAGACTGTCAAGACTCATCAGATGAATATCATTGTTGTAAGTACAATTTGACATTTCATGAACTCATATTGTATGCATCTCTTGTTAAATGTTTGTCTATTTATTCAGATTATATATAATATTCCAATTATCCTTTAAACATCACTTTGGATATCTATAGTACCTCCTTAGCCACTGAAACTGTGTTACCTCCCCTAGTTGGCAGCTAACAAGGGCTGGGCATCACATGCTTTCACACATTGTATGCAGAAAATTAAACATGTCATGTTGCTGAATATATTAAAATGCAGAGATCATTATGGTGCAGTAGATTAGTTAGTAGATCAAAGTATACATAGACAATGACGGTTAAAGTACATAGATAATGATGGTTAAAGTAAACAAATATTGTAACATAAATGTTGTTAAATGAGCATGCTCTAATAAAAAGAAAAAAAAATTTATCCATAAAATATTTAGTATCTCTCACATTTTTTATATTTTTATATCTCTAACATATTCTAACAATCCCCAAAAAATGTTTTGGCTTTATATAACCTACAAAAGTTTGATAAGACATGAAAAAGTTAATGTTTTCCTTTTGTTTCTTATTAGCCAACTAGCTTCTTTTTTTTTTTTTTAAAATCCTGAGTATCTCCTTCACCCTGCCTTTATCATTTCAGTAGGTTTCTCCCCCCCGCCATTCCTCTAATGGAGATTAACAAATTGTTTTGCTGAAAACTTTGCAGTCTTACATGAATTAACCTTAGATCCGTCATCTCACCAGAAACGTGGCCCAATTTCAATTCCACTCATACTCCCTGACTGCTCCTCGATTGAATGCTTGTTTATATTCAAAATGAAATAAAAGCAGTTAATTTTTATTCTCCACAATTTGACAGGTCTCGACTCAATTATTTTTCTTTAACTAGAGCTATCTATTACATTTGTTTACAACATGCAATAGATGTCAAATCAGACATATGCTCATAAGTTACTATCATCTCGGTCAAATTTGAACAAAATATTATCAAGCAAAAAAATACAAAAGAACTCTTTCAAAAACACTAAACCAAAGCAAACTATATCCCTTACTTAAAAGAAATTAAACTTTATGCCAAAATATAAAATCTCACAAAACTATATAAAACCTTTTAATAGATTTTAAAAATTGTAAAAAATCTCTTCATAAATATCCATACTAAAAATAACAATGCAATCTTTAATAACCAACTTGCATCAGAAACTGAATAGAAAATCACTCATAGTTAGAAACCAGTATCTCCAATAACTAATTAAAAAGAAGAAATAATCACTGATCTACATATAACATCAAGCTGTTTTCAAAACAATCACAATTGAAAACCCTTGTCTGGCCTTATATAATCCAATAGTAGTTGAAGTCATTAAGCAGCAACCAAAGAAATCCACTTGTTTACCAGAAACTTTTCTTTAAAAAGAAGCCTTTTCTTTTTCTTCTTTTTGCTGTTAGAAATGATTCTTTCATATATCTATTACTTTACTTAGTTTAAGTTAACCTTAAATTTTTAGTATCAAAGTTTAAGGATATTTCGTCAGCTTTTAGCAACTTTCATGCAGATCCCAAGAAAGAATATAGAAATTAGGGCTATTCTTGCAAATAGCAAAAGACATTTATCCAGTACTCTTTGACTTGACTCAATTGTACAAGTAAACTTTGAGTTCAAATCTGGTTTATTTTAAGTCAATTATTTCAGGTGTGGCACATAACAAAATAGATATGCTATCAAAAATACTATACAAGAAGAGTGGTTTCATTACCCTTCTGAGGAAACTTTTGATCCCAGCAAACTACATGTTGCACTGAACATAATACAGCATAGTACACAACATACAAATGCTCACAGCTTTACTGGATTACGTAGACTTTTTTGTTTGAGGAAACACTATGCAACTGCAATATTATCAATCAATATTATTACTAAATACATCTCAACATATAGTAATACTACTACATAGAATAGTTTACTCTATCACTAATAATCGCATAATTTGAATTTTCATTAAACCACTGGAATTTGTTTAAGGCAGACAAAAATGTTAACTCTCTAAAAATATTTGCTCATTAACCTGATTAAAAATGAAAAGGCTATTTTTCCCCAAGGGAAAAAAATACTTTCATTAATTCTCTAAATTTAATTTCTAGCTAATCCATTTTTTTTTTTTTTTTTTTACTACAATTGTAACCACTCTCATTCCTTTCTAGTTGAAATGCTTACCTTCAGATTTACTTTCTTCCAATAAAACATTTATGAATAACAGCATTGATTCAATTGCAGTTATTCACAATGGAACATCCTTCTTTTTGCTTCATGATGAAAAGTACCAAGGAGTGTGTGAAACTAATTTGAATAACAAGAATATAGCAGATAAACTATGCAAAGCTGTTGGTAAAAGGTAAGTACAGAATTCTAAAGAAATTAGATAAGTTTGGTAAATATATTCTTACTTATATCATTATTTTTTTGTATCTTCAAATTTCATATTTTTTCTTTGTCCTATCAAAGTTAGCAATTAAACATTAATAATGTTTATTTCAGTAATGCTACAGTTGGACAGTCCTTTTTTACTGGAAAAGGTATCGAATTTACCAGAAAGTCATTGACCAAGAATAACTTTTTTCCTGGACTGTCTCTCACTACCAATGTACTGTAAGTAATACATCATTTCATTCAATGCTTGCCATCCATAATCTTAATTTGCAATTTAGCTTCTATATCCTAATGTAATTTTTGTTTGTTTGTTTAGAAATACTTGCAAGATATCTTGAACAGATATCACCAGTTAAGGCAACGAGCAATTTCAGTCCACTTCACTATCAAATTGTTTCTGTATCACACTCAATGACCAATTTGCATTGAAGCAAAGAATATCTCAAAAGTAAAACTGATCAAACTAAGTACAAGACAGAAAAATTAATTTTTTTTTTTTTTCATCTCACCCCAAGCAAGGTGATAAGCCACTGTTTCATTCATTTCAGGTCCTGTCATTTACTCAATGTTTCATGCAGGGGTAAAGGTCAGTATTTCAGTGGATCTTTTTTTTCTTCTCTAAGCTGCTTCTCAAATTCCAGATCATTTTGATGTGATCTGATGAATAATCTCACCTTCATGCAAACTAACACGTACTGTATATTGATATGTATAAGGTGGCCATTAAATCTTAAAAATTACCCCCCCCCCAAGAAAAATAGGGTGTCATCTAATACAAGTTACAAAAAGCTAACCTTAAATTCTGTGGTGTAGTGGCACTGGTAAGTAGGCTGGTAACTATCGGATTGCGGTAGGCTAACCACTGTCTCAGTATAGTAACTACCAATGTAAATATTTCTAGTTGAAACAATTCACATTATAATGGTGTATTACAGTTATAAATGTAAAATTACTTTTACTTCTTAGTTTCACATTAAAATGTAAGACTCGAGGAATAATTACACAACAATCTGAAAAAGTTCCGCTGAGTAACCCACACAAATAACAAGTAATGTAAACAAATCTTTTGTTCTTGATATATAGAGCTATGGATGCATTTGCATCAATCATTATTTCTCGTAGTAGTGTTAAATAACATTTAGGATAATGTAAGTTCTATATTTCTAATTAAAATTCATTAACATTAGAGTGTCAGCAACATTCAGTATAACATGCAAATTTTATTTTTCATTAACATACATTAGACAGTATTTTTTGCAGTGTTAAGCAACAAAACATTTAAGATGCCATCTTTATTTCTTGTCACAGAATAAAGAACATAAGACACCCAAATACATAATTAAGACCTTTCAAAATTACCATGATCATCACCATCATCATTTACATATTCATCTTCAGTTAGTTATGTGCCATGCTTGATACATGCTTAGGCAATCATGTATCTTTCAATACATGACTGACGAGGCAGATTTTTTCTTGCAGTAGGTTGCCATTTCTTTCTGTGGTAGACCAGTTGCCATCCAAGGCTATAGAACCCAGTCAGTCTTATTTACCCATAGCTAGGGGGAGAAGAGGGCTCATACCTTTTCCAAGGCATTAGCATGTAAGTGAATGCAATGGATTTGACTGGAATTCGAACTCAGCTGAATCCTCAATCGGAGACTATTGAAATCACAAAAAAAAAATTACCTAGATTTTGGATCTCGTTTTTATCTACAGGTTGCCTTATACATGGAAATATATAGCAACTCAACTATGTCCATTTTTTTTTTTTCTTCTTCTTTCCCCCTTTTGTGCCTTTCAGTGTTTACAGGTAAAAGTGGGGAAGCCATACTTTAATAATGGTCACTTTCATATTTTTATTTCAGAATGTGGTACCCGAGGAAAAATCTTAAATGACCAGTCAATACAAAATGGCATTTCTACCTTTCTTGGTCAGTGGCCTTGGCAAGTGGTGTTTAAGAAAGACAACTACACTTCATGTGGTGGAATTCTCATCCATCAAAAATATGTACTCACCAATACTTATTGCCTCAAGTAAGATGAATTTTGTTTTTCTTTTTTTATTATAAACAAAATGTTAATACTTACTTTTAAATAAATTAAGGAACACTTTTCATGCACATATATTAATGTGCTGCTGCTCTTTTTTTTTTCTTTAAAAACTGCTAAGGTTCACCCTTTACAAGGTCTGGGAGGAACTCAAAGTAAAGGGTTTGTGCAGAAAAGAATGGAAAATAACAGTTGGCCTTGAACAGATTAAGATTATAATGAACAGGGAAACATCCTTTTGGGAGTCAGTTCCACAGAGCAGTGGTTTGCAGGAAAAAGCTAAAACTTCTCACTTAGAAGATAGTAGCAAAATGTTCACATTTTCTCTATATGTAAGTGGTATGGTGTGTACTTGCTGTGAAGGTTTGAGTTGGTGGGACCAGGTAATGTAGTTCATCCAAGCACTTTCTGTGCAGTAGAGATAGAGCAGCAAGAAGCTTGCCATATCCTGCTTGTGGGAGAATAATTCATCACCCACAAGGTAATTTCCATCATAGCAGTTCTATGGCTGTGAATGATGAAGTTTTTTTCTTTATTTAACCCATTAATAGCAAACATTTGAAGAAAAAGAGTAAGCTTATCATAGTGTTAAAAATACATTTTCATTGATGAAATTGATATTTGTTTTTATAAGCTTAACATTTGAATAATTTTTCTATATTTTTTTTTTTTTTTGATCACTGACTGGTGATCAGGTCCCATCAATTTACAGTTCAGCTGGCTACATGTAACTGTAAATTTTATGCTAAGTTTCTTTTCTCACACTTTTCGCTTGTGAAACTCCCTTCTGGCTCCATGCTTTCCAGCCAACTTTAATCTGCAAAAATTTAAATGCAATCAATTGCTATCTTCTTGATTAATCTTTCTCTGTTCTCAAAGTTTAGTGATGTTCCTGTTTCTAACTCTTCCACACCCAGTAACCCCTTGCATCTTTATAGCTTTACTGTCCTGTTCTATTTAAATAAATATAAAATAAAATTGACTCTTACATAAAACAACAAGTTTGGAATAACTAAAATTCAATAATTTTTTTTTTTTTCCTACCTCCACCTTTGTCCAGGGAAAACCACGTGTGGACAGTGACAGTTGGTACAAGAAACAAAACTAGTGGAGGAGTACAATATAAAATAAAACGAAAAATTGTTCAATCATTTTCTGAAAGAGAGGCTCTTGGTTTGCTGGAATTGACAGAAGCTGTACAAATAACTGACTATATTCGTCCTGCCTGTCTCCCCTCAAAGCCATGGCTTCCTGATATGGAATGCTTTTCAACAGGATGGGGAATGAGTGGAAGCTGTAAGTAATCAAATCTTTTGAAATTGAAAGTACTTTGAACTCCAAACAATGCTTGATGATTAAAATGAAATTCACCAATGTATATTCTATAAAATTTTTTTTTTTTTTTTTTTTTTTTTGAAAAATTATTAAATTCAATGTGTCATGTCAATTGCTGAGAGGATGTAGTATTATGATGCATGGAGGATTGATTGGTGACGGACAAGTTTTTGTGGTGAATGCACAAATTGTAACAAGTGAATCGGATTATCTAGGTATAAGATAGTTAGTGAAGACCAGCCTCAACCCCTTTCGCCCTTGTGCCATAATTGTATTTTTTAACACAATAAATATTGTCATGTGTCAATTTATACCAATTTCATTTGTAAGGAAAAAAAAAAAAAGACCAAAATCCAGTCCTGTATATAAGAGAATAAAGTTCTATTATAATTTATGAAAATAATTACACCGGTTTTGTTTTAATTGGTTCAGTAAGGAAGTTTGGTTGTTTAAAAATTGTCAGTTAAAACATGACCTTTAATGAAATCATAATTTTGATCAAATTCTAAACTGTTACAATACATTTCAGAATTTGTGATCAAACATGGAAATTCCTTTTTCAATAAAATAAAGGATTTATAAAAGATGTATTAGAGTGGAGGTCTCTTTTTTTTATCTTGTGACATGTAAATCCTGCAAGTAAAAAAAAAAAAAAAAAAAAAAAAATTTTGTCCTCTAAAGTCAAAATATACAATCTTAAATCTTTTCCACCCAGCACCAACTACCTTTTGGGGGCTTATAAAATTTGCAATACTTAAAATGTGATATGCAAGAAAGTTCTTTAAAAGATTAAATCATTTTTTTTTTCTTTCATTTAATTAATCAGATTCATTTGCTTAAGAATATTCAATATATTGTTTAGTTGTTGTTGTTTTTCTGTTCTCAGCCAATTATCCATATTACCTGAAAGAAATCAAGGTTCGTCTACTCAGTCAAGATCACTGTATAAGCCATTTTACAGACATCAGTCAAACATTTTTGTGTGCAGATAGTGACAGATACTCATTAGGATGTCATGTAAGTTTAAAAAGTTTTTAGAATTGTGTGTGTATATATATATTAAACTTTCTATTATATATAATTTTTTTTTTTTTTTTTTTTTTCTTATTTAATGCCACAATCATCCCTTTTGAGATTTATTTAAAGCTAAAACATTTTTGGATTATAAGAATTCTATTTAGCAAGTGAATATTGAATTAACTTTTGAGAATAACAATGATTTCTCACAATTTCTATTTAACCCATAGCTGGGGGGAGATGGATACATACCTTTTGCAATGTATATATGTATGCTTGTAAATAATAAACCTACTGGAAATCTTAGATTTTTCATTCAAAGCCACTATCCACACACACAATACCATACAAAAGTCCAAGATCATCTTAAACTAATAAATCTGGGATCTTCATACCTGCAAAAAAAAAAAAACTTTTAACTGACAGTGAAGGTAGTTAAAATAATAGCAATATAAATTGTTTTAAAATATGATAAAAGTGAATTTATTCATTTTCTTTCTAATAAAAAAAAAAAAAAAAAAAATTCATTGTTTTTTAAAATTATTCTTGTAAATAAACATTCTTAAAATTGATACAATATTTATCATTTACTAATTTTTAATCTTTATTTTAGCAAATGTCTATAAATTTACTATAAGGTAATCTATATTTACCATTTTATAAAGTTCAAATCGATTGGCCATTAACTGAGGTTTTACCATTCCAGTAAAGTAAATAAACAATCTAATAGTATTTTTTTTTTTTTATTGTAAAAATAGGACAGTTTTTTCCCATGACACTGCTTTAATTTTAACGGCCTTCACTTTTTGGCAATGTTTGTTTTAAAAATCAATGATTAGAATTGTAATAAAATCTAAACATATCATGCAAGTGAATTTATACATTTTCTTTGTATCTGAGAAGCAACAACAAAAATAAGCACTATTTATTTATTAGATAGCTTATTTACACTATTCCTCTAAAGAATGCATGTAATGTTGAAGAATTATGGAAACATAGCCAGAGAGAATAAAATCTTACACTCATGAAATTAATAAAAGGATTTATACGCATCTCTTCTGCATCAGATTAAAGCTATTATTCAAGTTAAGTCACAGAAAATACTAATTCTCTTTTGAATATACTATACTTTTCATTTTTTTTTTTTTTTTAATTTCTTGACTAATACAAAGTGACCTAGAACTTGTTACAGCCATGTTGGTGTGTTAGCAAATATTTTTCACCTCAAATTCACTCCCTCCCAACAGAATAATGAAGTTTTACAATTTAAATGATACTTGTGGTTAATGTATTATCTATGAAAAAGGGATACATTTATTTACAAGATTTAAAAGTTTAAGGTGACATTTGACTTTTGCACAGTACTATATATATATATATATATATAGAGAGAGAGAGAGATAAACAAATACTGCAGTGGAAAATGAAACAAAAGGGGTAGGTGGCAAGTAAATAATTTTTGGAAATGGTTAATTTTAAGGTAACTTTAATATTATTTGTCAGAAATAATTATCTTTCATGAATTGTATTTACTAATCAGGTTGACATTGGTGGACCACTTGTATGTCGGAACGACCATGGACATTGGGAAGTTGTTGGAGTGACAAGTGCGGACAAAATATATTGTTACCCTAACAGTTTTATTCCTATCACTTATATAGATGTATACAGGTCATTAAAATGGATTTTACAGCATTTGACTTGAACATATATCCTGACCGCAATGAATTATGCTAAAAACACCAAAAAAAAAAACAAAAAAAAAAACACGTGCATCACCCAGTGAGGAATCCATTGAAAAAAAAGGAAGCAAAATAACCAGTAATTATAACCAGTTGTCAATCATGTCTTGAAATTAAGCAATTAAATGAATGAAAAAAAAAAAAAATCCTTTAAAATAAACTTTTAAAATATAAGATTTCTGCTGCAATACATGCAACTCTATTATAACTGACATAATATTGCATGAGCAACTCTATTATAACTGACATAATATTGCATGAAACTGTTTTTACTAACACTAGTATTGAATATCAATCAGGCTTAACCATATACAAAAACTTATAAATTGGAATTGACTTACACAATTACTACTTCTGTCTTTTCTTTTAATTACTGGTAACACTTTATTCTCTAACATTTTAGCAAAATTAATGCAAGTGGCCTTAAAGCATTGAAATTTTTCCACAGTAACTGCTAATTTTGTCTTAATTTCTAGGATGAGGATTTATATTTGAACTATTGTACTCATTTGTTATCACAACAATACAGCGGTCTAATGAATAAAAAAAAAAGTGTTTTGTAAAGTTTACAGTGATTGTGTGTACTTGCACTCAGTGGAAACAGCCAAGCAATAACTGAACAGTCTAGCCCGTAGATTACATAAAGGGTACAGCTCAGAATTCCATGTTGGTTACCCATATTGATATACACCAGAGGACACAATAGCTGAAACATAATAAAAATAGCCTGCATTTTTAACAAATTGCTGCTGCTATACAAGGCAAAAACCTGAAATGCCAATGTTTCCAAGCAATGAAGTGATAAGTTTTCAGTTTTATTAAACTTACCTTTTATAATTAACAAATGTCTTGGGGGGGGGTATATATACAAATAAAATTATTTTCTGGGATGTGGTGGTTAATATTGTTTACATGTGGACTATTGTCCCCACTTTGTTCTAATAAGAACAAATGATGACATGCAAATAGTGATTTCTCAGTGGAGAACAGAATTTTATATTAAAACAATTCTTGTATCAAGAACAAAATGACTAAACCTTTATGAAAAATAATAATCTTTGAAATTAGCAATGAAAGAATTTTATTTATCCATGTTGTCAAATTAAATATTCCTTGCCAGAAAGGAACAAAGATTAGACTTGAATATCAAAATGAGCTAACAACCCCCAATGGTCACTTGCAAAACGTTGGCATTTTGGAATCCGTTCCAGACCCACAAGTTCAAAATATACAGGTTTTACTAAAGTTCCTGCCTTTGGATGCCGTAAATAGATACGATCAAAACGGCACTTTGGTTGGTAGCGTTTTCCCTCTAAGACTTTGTTATCATTCCTGGTTAAGTCCCACGTGAACTTTGCCTCAGGACGTTCGCCAGTTGCAGACCAAACATCGATGACATGACTTGGGAGTCCAATTTCAGTCAACTACAAAAAAAAAACAAAAAAAAACACATGCACAAAAAGCAGTAGGTTTGAAATATGAAGTAGTCTAAAACAATTCTCAGGCCACCAAAGAACTTATTCTAATGTTTGGTCAAATCTTGAAGTGCGCCACATCAAGAACTTTTCAGTACCCACTTGAAAAGATACGGTATCTAAGATATATTTGACATAAAATTATAATATAGCTGGATTGCAACATTATAGGACACCCACATAGAGGAAGTTAATTGGATCTAAGAAGATTCAAGTTAATCAAAGGGGAATGGAAAAGTAAAGAAATGGAAAAGCATGACTGCTATGTCCTGCCAATAAGCCATAAATAATGGACTATTTTGTTTTGATAGAGTGGAAAAGACAGTACTTGGTTTCAGTGGAAAAATGAAAGATGTAAAGTTGGTTCACCATGTCATGCTAGACAATTTTTCTTACCAGAATTTATCTTACATATTTAAGTTTACCATTTATCTATGGCTGCCATATACGGTCTAGTGCACCTGCTATAAATCCAAAGAATTTGCAATGTTATTGGTTTTGACCCAGCATCTTACTTTCAAAACCTTTTCTATAAATACTTTCATGGTGATTGTTTAATGGCTGTTTCAGTGAAATGGAAAAGTTGTCAATTTCAAGTTTTTTCATTCGTACCTACTTAAAATAATAACCAACATTCATATTTAAGTTTCTTATTACAATATTTTGTTAAATTCAAATGATTAATCATGCAATAGGGAGATGTCTACAGATATTTTATTGTCATAGAACTCACCATGAGTTTAATCTTAATTTTTAAATTAATGATTAATCATGAAATTTTCACAGGTTAAAACTAGTCTATATATAATATGGGAAACGGTACATGGAGTTTGTTTCTCATCTTACCTTTTCTTTTGGTGTGCATTGCTGAAAACTGAATGCAATATGGGGAATCAATGGCTGGTTGATTTACAGTAAAAGATCACACATACAAATCAATACAGACACAGGTTCCAAAATAAATAATTTTATAAACAGTATTCAGGCACCTCATCAATAGAATATTACTGTGTTAAGCATTTTACTTTGCAAAGTTTTTTTTTTTTTTTTTTTTTTCAGAAAAGCAATATGGCTTTTACTTTTCTAGGTCAACTGCTAATGTGTTAATGATTATTGCTGAAATAGTTTTAGATAAGAATGGTGAAGCTGGGGTTGTTTATCTGGATATCTTAAGGGTATTTGACAGGGTTTGGCATACTGGTCGTCTTCATAAGTTGAAAGGTTATGGCATTTCTGGAAAAGTTCTTGAACTGATTCAAGCTTATCAAATCGCAAAATGAAAGTTGTCTTGAATGGCCACTCTTCTAGATCTTTTTGCATTAATGCAGGTGTTCCCATAGCTTTGCCTTAAAGCTTCATTGTTCCTAATTGACATATATGAGCTTCCTGATGTCATCAGTTCTCAACTCTGGATTAAACATTTTTCAGCACAGATGCTATCTCAATAGATTTGACACTTTATATTATGAACAGGTCTGAATTTCTAAAATGATTAAAAATAAGTTTATATTTTTTTATTCCGACAAATATTGAGGCTTGAGAAAGGTTGAATGAAGTCTAATCAGCAAAAATGATTTCACCTTTCTTTTCTACAAGCAGACCACTCAACCTCAGTAGTGTCTAACTATAATTCTGCAATCCAACCTCTCAAATAAAAGGAACATATTTGTATCTCTGTAACATTACACCTGCTTTGGCACTGGATTTTTTAACCACACTGAACCTTATTGCAACATGCATCATTGTACCACCATGGGCACATGACCAAGTGGTTAGAACACTCACTTTCCAACTGCAAGACCCAGGTTCAAATCTCACCAGGCTCGATTGGTCAGGAAGGTGATTTCTTGATGTTATTGACCTGTCAAAGCAAAATCCCAGCAGGCAACACCTTCTGAAAGTGCCTGAAAAGCATAGTATGGGTTGATTGAAACCTTGTGACTGAAATTAGGTAGATGGAACTATTTTGGAGCCGTCAGCGGTTGAACTAGCATGAAGGTGCAAGTCATTGTGACAGAGGGTTTGATTGTACTGGCTTTGTTCAGAGTGTTGATCACGCCAGATAATGCCCTCTTTCCCAGAAACTCAACATATTTGCAGTATAAACTACAGGTGGGTTCTGCGGGTGTTGAACAAACACAAATGTTCCTGAGCAGGTGTCTGCAGTAGAGAATAGCTAGCTACTCTAGTGGACAAGCATACTCTGATATGAGTGGCCAGCCATTACTTACTATATCTCAAGATGTTGAAAGACTTAAGTTTTATCAGAATCCCTGCAACCTGCCAGCCTGCACATACTCTAAGCAGGCCAAAAAATTAGTCCTTCAATTTTATTTTCTGTCAGTACAGATATCTTTATAGCTATTACATGTGCATAAAAAAATGTTATGAGCAGAATTTTGGATAAAGTCAAATAAATATTTACAAATTCAGCTTTTTAGAAGTATCAATGAATAAATTCTTTACCACCACTAAGAAGTTGAGCCTTAAAAGTGAACACCTATTTAAATAGAAGAGGATATTGCAATTCTGTAACAACTATTATTTACTGTTATAATAGAAACTCAAAATTTTTGTAATATGAAACATTTATGCACTTACTTCTTTCTCTCGCAAATTGAGATCTCCACCAAATATCACAGTTCTTGAGTTGTCAGCTTCTTGAACTTTTTGAAAACCTGCTTTTAGCTGCTTCTTCCTCTCAGCTGAGTGGCTTCCCATACTTTCTAAGTGAGTATTGATAAGTAAAAATGACATACTTTTGACTTGACACTGAAAAAAAAAAAAAAAATTCATTTAAAGAAAGTTTAAGAAACTCAGAAAGGTTTAAAAACAATTCAAATTTCAAGTTAACAGAAAAATTATTCTCAAGCATTTCACAATTGAAGTAAAGATACTCTCTGAGCTTAAACATTTTCAGGCTGGAAGGATTTAAAAAAAAAAAAATAAAATAAAATTTGTACTTTATACTAATATCTCATTAGAATTAGCTATTATGACTTGCAATAACACTTGTAGAAAAAGACTACAATTTTTTTCTAAACATTAAGTAGCCTTAGCTAAGAGCCCTGGAGAACACCTGCATTTATGCAAAAAGATCTAGGAGAATGGCCATTCCAGACATCAAATCTTGAAATGGAAATTGTTTAAGAAAGTGAAAGCCATAATCACTATCAGAAAGAAGACCCTGGCAATGTGAGATGCTTAATTCAGAGCCTCTCGTATTTTGCCAAAAATAGGTAGAAGGCTGTTAGAAGGATGAGATGGTTTGCCTAAGTGTGACACTATTTAGCTATGATAATTGGCTAATTAACCATAGAAATTAAAAACAGGAAATACTTAAGGTGAGAAAGAGCTATATCGAAGGATAGACTGAGTGACATTAAAAAGAATTTATTTTATTTACAAAAGAAAGATACTTTTCGCAAAAGACAGAAAATCCGTAAGAAAAAGCAAACTGTGAATCTGTCAAAATTAATTAATGTCACAATAAGGGGGTGATGTGCCAAACGAAACAGAATTCTGAAAGAAAAACAAAGCCACCCAACACATACGACCATAAAAAGACCACCCTGGAGAAATAGGTATTAATTATCTTTCAGAGATACCATTTAACTTTAATTCCTGGTTCCAGCAAAGGAAGCCATCTGGTATATACATGAATCTGACATGAGAAGGAAAATCGAAAAGGGGATCATTATTATTGCTTATTCAAACTGTTGACATCAGACATAGGGTCTCGAAAATGAGCACCTAGTGATAAGAGAATTTTAAGACATGAGAAAAATAAAGAATTTAATTATCAGGTAAACACAACCACCCAGTTAAAGGTTGACTAGCGTTTTTTTTGACAATGATTAATGAGTCAGTAGAGGTCTGAACTAAGTGGATTTGAAATGTGATAAAGAATTAATTGGCAATCTGGGATTTGTAAATGTTTTGGCTGAAGGAAAAGGGAAAAAAAAAGAAAAAAGGATTTTGTAAACAAAATTCTGGAATAATTCTAAGATGGCTGGTCTAGCCACACCCACACTGCCGAGAGATCATTGGCTAAATGGTAGCATGGGTGATAGGCGGAGGTAAATGTATGAGAAAGCGGAGAAGTTGTTAATGCCCACTGAGGGGAATTGGTATGAGATACCAATGTGAGAGAGAAAGAGTCTATGAGGATAACTCTCCTCCAACCTTCCCTCACGGACAAGGGAGGAACCCCAAAGTGGAAAGTGATTAATCTTCCAAAAATGGGAAGTAATTAATTTTACTGGCCTAAGAACAAAGAGGATTCTTGTTGAGAATTGTCAAGGAACCCAAATCACGACAGGCCCCCACACCGGAGATGGTCGGTGTCCATATAAACAAACATCTCGAAGCAGCTGGTCAGTTTTTCAACAGAGGTTTCAGAGTTTCAAGAGAGTTCAGAGTTGAAGTTGGAGACCAGCCTCGCAGAAGCTGACCGAAAGATTTCCACGTCCTCTCGACTTAGTCGTTCGTCAATAAAAATTTGCTTTTGGTAGAAAGACTAAGATACCATAACTCGCTTAAAAAACGCAAACAGTGTCACGAATCCATAAAAGTGGGCTGGGAGAGAAACACACTCCTGTATTCAACAGATAAAGATAATTGTTATTTCTCAACATATTTGAACCTCATGAGTTTGTTTTATTATTTTTTTTTTTTTTTTTTTTTTTACTTATGCTTGTGTGGTATCACCTTTACCCCAGATTCAGCTTGCACTATGGCCTGACGCCTGATTGATTTCATCTACCTAAGATCAAAGTCACAACGTGTGTAGGTTAGACTTGAGATCAAAGCAGTTACTTTGTTAACCAGACGTTGGAAGTGAGCTGGGAACGACAAGTTGGTATCAAACTGGGAATGACCAGATCGACCAGGACACAGGCTGGTGGCAGCAGCAACGAGTCAACCCCAAACGCTGGTGGAAAAAACCTTACAGCTTCGCGCTGGGAGTTGACCACGGGTTGATGGCGCAGTGTCATATATTGACGTCGCGACCAGTGAACATCACTTATTGGCGCTGGACTGTGACTGCCGGTGGGTGTCACATAAGTTCTTAAAGACTGAAACTACAGAAAAGGATTTCCAACAAGCAGCAAAGATATTTATTGTAGAGTTTAGAGAGAACAGGAGACAATTCAGGAGCATATTTCTTAAAGACTATTGCAGGAATACCATCAAGTCCACACACTTTGTGAGGATCCAGTTTAGAAACATGATAGTTATATACATATCATTCAATAGACTCGGTTCTAAATAGAAAAACAGGCAAAGATACTCCAGTTGTGTCAAGAGTAGAATTTTAAGAGAATTTATGAGCAAAACATTCTGCTTTATCAACAGAAAATGTAAACACTTCAAATTGAGTAAAGAAAGGCAGAAGAGAAGACAGTATTACAAAGTCAACAGTAGTCATGAGAACCAAACTTGTTAGAATGAGGCACTGTATAGCCACTATCAGTTACCCCTTTAAAAAAAAAAAAAACGGCCTCTTTGAGGACACATTTACAAAAGGTTTCTGTTGTGATCAAAACTATCATGCTGGTGCACTCAGAAAAAGTGATTCCTATGGACTATAGCAGCTGAATAGGCTTGTGCAAACAAGGAGATTTCAGTTTCACCTGGTATTTTCAAGAAGATACAAAAGTATCAATGCTGACTTTAACCCAAGAAGAAACCTCTGGGGCACGATTCTCAATAGAAACATTAAGAAAATCAAGCTAGGAAGAAAATCAGTACAATTAGACTAATTTCAAATTATTAAAAATTTGTTATTTTATGTAATCTTCCAATTTATTACCAGTTCTTTATTCAATATAAAATGGAAAATAAAACAAAAATTTCAAAACAAGTCTAAGGTAAAACTAACCAAATAAAACTGGAAAATTGCCAAATATTAGATTTTATAGCACAGATTTAAACTTTAAATGTAAGATTATTCATGCCAACATTTCACTAACTTTTCATCTAAGGATTTATCTTTAAAAAGAATCCTTCTCAGGATATGTTTTTAAAATTAAAATTTAACAGAGTGGGGTACTTAACAGGTAAGAAATAATCAAAATTTTTTTTTTTTTTTAAACATTTTTTTGAAATCGAAAATGGAATAAACTCAAAATTTTATTAAAATTCAATAATTTCACTCAAATTTTTGGATGTAGGGTAAAATTTTCCTCAAGTTTTAGTATTCATTATTGCATTTTTTTAAGAGCTGTAAATAAATTCAAAGTATTTCCAGCTCTATATAAAATGCAAATAATATTTAGAGTAAAATTTTCTGAAATTTTTTTTAGTACAAAAGAAAAAAAAAGTAAATAAAAAAAAAATAAATAAATAAAATAAAATTTTGCATCTAAGTTAAAGATTTTGTTTTCTTGTGAGTCATCACATGCCGTTTCTTTTTCATTTTTGAACAGACTCAAAATAAATACCATATTTTACTGCTTAGAAATATCTCCAAAAACCAACCTGCATCCTATAAATCAAAGATCATTGACAGGTGTTAACTTCTTTTAATTATTATATTCTAAATAGTTATCATAAATTTGGTACTTCTCAGTGTGATGAACTTAGTCAGGTTTTCATGTTGAAATATGCTATTCAGTGGGTAAAATTGGACGTAGTGAGGAGGGCTATGAAGTAAAAGGAAAATTTTTTTTTTCTGTTTCTTCCTTTGGAATTTTTTAGGGAGCATTTCATAAGCAGCAAAATATGGTAAATAGAAAAATTAATAAAAGGTATAAAAGACAACACATTACCTCAATCTCGAGCAATGAACGACTCATTACACTGGAATAAAAAGGCTGAACACCTTCACTCTCAAATTTCACATCAGATTCTTTCAGAAGAATGGCTGTGAAGTAACCAACAAGACCAGAAACAGTAAAACGATAACCAGGACAAAGCTTTTTCAAAATGATCACTGCTTCAGGGACAACTTCTTGTAAGAAGACAATATGAGGATTTTCACTGTGAAGTAAACAAACAAAAAAAAAAAAGTAGAGTGAATAGCCATGGATAAAGGTAAACAAATGGCAAAACTGCCTAACAAACAGAATTGACAAAGTTTGCAATAAGAAGGGAAAAAACAGGACAAAAAAATAATACAAACCAAGCAAACAATATATGAAAGGCAAATTAACAGTAATATGGCAAAAAGTTCAAACTAAAAATTGGAGTTGACACATAAGAACATGTTCAGATAAATGAACATAGTATTCTGAGACCAAGACAGACCAGGATTGAGTCATATGAAACTGAGAACTGGCCTATTTTATTGGCTAGGAAGAAATCCCAGCATGCATTTGGATGCTTCTGCTTATAAATTGGGGGAGTGGAAAGTGTTTTTGCAGTCATTCCCAGCTGGATTGGAGTCAACAAAAAAAAAAAAAAAAAAAAATACTATTTGCAATTTATCTAATTTATTCATGCATCCACAATCAACAAATCTTTGGACTTATTTGTGTTTTCATACTAGAGATTTCTTATGACCAAATTTCTGGAATGAGGAATTATTTACACTATTTACTTCATCTTTGTTGTTGTAATCACATTTCAGCTGGTGTGCCCTCCAGCCTTCATCAAGTGTATATCAATCCAGGTAACTTACAGGGAATTCCATATTTTTTTTTTTTTTTTAAATCAATTCACCCCAAGCAAGGCGATAATGTCACTAAGACACATGGGTCTACTGGAAGTGAAAGAGAAAGGAAGGAAAAAAAAAAAAAAAAGAAAAACTTTAGAAGAAACCTGAAACCAAAGACCAATCCTAAACAGGAAACAGTGAATAAACCTTTACTCCCATTTAAAATACTGGGGAGTGATGTGAACCTATCTACTCCTATTAGAAAACCAGATTTTTATATTTAAAGTCTGCTCTTCGTAAATTAAATTAAGGGTTCAATTCTGAATTCCCTGTAAGTTACTCGTATCAATATGCATCTGATGAAGGCTGGAGGGTATAACAGCTGAAACCTTTTGATAACAACAAATATGAGAACAATAGCCCGAATGTAAATAGAGATTTTTTTTCCACATTGATTGTTGAAATATATAACAGGAGAGGTAACTTTAAGAAAATGTTAATGAGGATAAATAGAACTTCTTCATATCAAAATATAGAATCTAATATATAAGGAGATTATGTCTTTATGTATGTTTGTTTGACTGAGTGTATGTCTATTTAATAACTTCCTTTACCAACTCCTTTCAAATTCAGGCAGACAAAGGAAAAAAAAAACAAAAAAACATGTTTGTTTGTACAATGAACGAGGTCACATCTTTTTAATAATTCCCTTACCTACAAATTTTCTTTGGACCAATGAAACCATATATATATAAAAGTAAGTTTGTCCAAGAGATGGTTAAAAAACTTTTTAGTCCTTATTTTCCATAAGAAAAGCTAAATAAAAAAAATATAAGGGTATAAATCAATGATATTATTAAGAAAAAGAGAAAGAAAAAAAAAAAAAAAAAGATAAAGCATAATAAAACACAAATAAAAGAAAAAAAAGAATATTAAAAAAAAAAAAAAGACTATATAAAGAATAAAAAAAAAAACAATAACTACATATATTAGAAAAAGAATATAAAAAAGAAGAGAGAGATATTGTCCAACAACCTAGAGCATGTTTCTGATGAAAATTTTTTTTTTTAAAAAACAAGAATTGTTTCCTTTTTACAATTTTAATTACAATAAATTATAAAGTTGTTAAATCTTTTAAAATTCAGTTTTAGGAAATACTGTTATTAAGTAAAACTATTTTTACTAATCATAAATCTAAAAGCTTATTACAATCTGCAAATGACCAGTATTTAAAAAAAATAATTTTATGTTGTTTCTGGATGCATATAAGCATGCTTTTAAAAGTCACATTTTAAGAGTTGTTTAAAATTTCCTGAGATAATATCAAAATTAATGATAAATAAAATACGATAAATTTTCACAAGAAATGTATGTAAAACTTACAGGTACCTCTTATGAAATTGTATGTTATATTAATTTTTATTATCTTAGTTATTTTTGTGATGTCAACAAACACTCATTGCCACTTTTGTGATGTCAACGAATACTTTTTGTCACTTTTGTAATGCTTGTTGTAGTAGAGACTTTGTAATCGCAAATTACAACCATAGTAATGCTGTTGAACACTGCAGGTGTCAGATGCCTTCGAATTGCACTTGCACTAATAGTACTTACTCAATAATACTTGCTTGAAAAGTATAGTGATCCGAGAAGAGAATAGTAGTCTGTATAGTAATAAGAGGATAGACTAGAAATGCTGATCATTTAGACATGCAACTTCCTACTTATGCATTTCCTCTACGGTCACGTGATCTACTTAATTCAATAATCTGATTGCCTGTGTTTGCTCACAGGTGATTTATGTTCAAACAAAAGTGTCAGCAGCGACACTTTATTCCTATATAACACTTCCCCTTTGAGATGACTTCCTCTGGACCCTATATTTCTACAGCTTCGGTTCAATATTCAAATGTTCTGTTGATGTTCTTTTTCTTTTACTGTACCTCCTTGGTTCACTAATTTCTGGTGGAGTGGGTGCCTCAAACATGTCATACATTTCCATCAGTACCTCTTTTCGTGGACTTACTAAATCAGTGAATCCCCATTTTAACTGATTAAGGTGTTGCTTATGTTCCCACCTTTCTCCCTGTACCATGTATGTCTTTTTCAGATTCGTTTTTTTTTTATAACGCCACCTTCCCAGAATTTTTTTTCCACAATACATTTTAAAAAATACCTTATCTCCAGGTTGGAAGTATTTACTTATCTGGTAATAATTTATTAAAAACAGACTTAATCTTCCTGGAGAACATCAACTCTGCAGGCGACATTCCAGACACGGTCTTCAGGTTTGGTGTTATTCTGTAAACTCTCAGAAATTGTTGTAGCATTACTTCATCTGACTCCTCTCCCTCTGACTTTTTTTTAATGCCCTTTTAAACATATCAACAAGATCCCTTTGTATCTTCTATAATAAGCTAGAAAAGTTATCCCTTCGTTTGGATTGTATACAAATTTGCTGATTGAATTAGCAACAGAATCTGGAGTGAATGAATCTGAAGTTTTTCCTTCCATCATTTTGGTAAACAATTCAAAAAACTTCTGTTGCTGTAGTTGTAATTACTGTTCAGTTTGTTGTTTTTGTTGCTTTTTGAGTGCCAACATTTGAATCATGATAGCTTTTAATTCTTCCATTCTGCTGTACTCTGCTGAACGAATACTTGTATAAATTCAAGGAATCTCTGTCACCACTTTTGTGATGTCAATGAATACTCGTTGTCACTTACATAATGCTTGTTGTAGTAGAGACTTTGTAATCACAGATTACAACTATAGAAATGTTGTTGAACACTGCTGAAACAAAGATGCCTTTGAATTGTACTTTCTCAAAAAGTAACCACTGTATAGTGATCCAAATAGAGAATAGTGTAGAGAAGAGAATAGTGGTCCATATAGTAATAGAGGATAGACTAGAAATGGCGATCATTCAGACGTCATGTGTCTTCCTACTTATGCGGATCACCCGTGTTTGCTCACTGGCAATCTATGTTCAAACTCAAGTGTCAGCAGTGAAACTTTATTCCTATATAACAGTTATGAAATTTTAAATTTTATTGTTATATAGTATTTTAAATTTTATTATTTTTCCAGAAAGCATCTTCAAATATAAAGCTATAAAGCTAAAGTACCTAATAATTAATAAAATATTAGATTGCTTTTGTTAATTTGTAAAAATTACTGGGTAATTAAATAAGTTCACCTAAAATTTGTAGAATTTGTCACTTTTGTTCATCCATTCAATGACTTCTCCTGACCCTAGCTGTCAATACCATCAATCAACACATGACAAATGAGTCCCTACAGTTAAAAAATGCTTTTATCTTCTAATACGTTTTTCCTGCTAAAAAAGTAAGTACTGTTTCAAATTAGATTAAGTAAACTTTAAATTTTCTAATTTTACACAAATAACCTTTGATAAATGTATTTTTAAAAGACAGAGAATTTAACTTTTGTTAGAAGATGTCTCAAAATAGCAGACATCAATTTTACTGAAAAAAAAAAAAAAAAAAAAAATTTTTTTTTTTATTCCAATCAATAGAAATTCAGTTTTAAATACAAAGTATTTTGCTAACTGGGTATAGTAAATTTATGCCTTTACCTTTGAATTAAAGCTAAAAAGAAAGCTTCAAAAACGTTTTTCATTTTTTTAAATTAATTTAAACTACAGGTATTCCAGATCCGGGACAGATGGTCAATTATACAATGGAATTTCTGAATTCTCCAGAACCTTTCAATTACCTTCACATAGACTGGAACTTAAGATGGGGGTGCCTATAATACTATTACAGAATCTGGACCCACCAAGAATTTGTAATGGAACCAGATTGGTGGTTAAGAAGTTGATACCACATTTAACTGAGGAATTGGTTCTTACTGGATATGGAAAAAGTGAAGATGTTTTTATTTCCAGGATTCTCCTTATTCCATCAGGGTCAGATATTCCATTCATGTTTAGGGGACTTCAGTTTCTAATACAAGTAATGTCTATTAAGAAAGCACAAGGCCAGACAATCAGAAGAATCCTGTTTCTTTCATGGGCAGTTGTATGTTGGTTGTTTATGTGTAGGAAGTAAAACCAATTTCTTTGTTTATGCTCCACAAGTAAAGACAATATTGTCTACCAAGAATTACTGTAACGTAAAAACTGTTTAAAGATATATTTATTTTTGAATAAATGAATTTGAAGTTATATTACTGTTATAGATTTATTTTAACTTTTTAAATCTTGGGCAATGCTGGATTGCTCTACTAGTTGTATCTAAATTAAATTAATTTCAGTGGATAAATTCAAAAACAAATTACTTGGCAATAACTTGACACACAAATTTTGTCCTGGTCTTCAGATTGTTTGTGTCGAGGCCATCAATATTCCAAGAAAGCAGGCGAATTCGTTTATCTTCATTTTTTGCCGCTTTTTGTCTGAAATAAAAAAAAAGATTTTTCTGAAAACATTTTATATATATATATATATATATATATATATATATATATATAAAAGTGTTGACTTCTATGTTCACTTTTATATTTGTTTGTGTTTGGATTAAGAACATTTTCAGGTGAATAAAATTAGTTTTATTAGTCTTTCAAACAAGTAAAAATAAAACAAGTTTTTATCAACTAAAAACCGCTTTTATCTATTAGTACAGAAACTTCTAGCTAAAGATTTCTTATACTTTTTAGAGTAAAATTCTTATTAAAATGAAAATTTGTAAAAACTGAGCCATTCCAGTTTCCAAATATTCAAAACATTTTCAATTAGTTTTTTTTTTTTTTTTTAATTCACCCCAAGCAAGGCAATAACATCACTAAGAAGCAAGGGGCTACTGAAATTGAAAGAGAATGAAAAGTCTTTAGAAAGAACTGAAAACCCAACCCTAAACAAGAAGTAAGGGATAAACTTCTCCTGTTCAAAAGACTTTGGAAGAGTGTAAACTAGACAACTGAACTACTTTTAAATGGTTTGCTATGTATTTTGCAGCTACCTATATTCTAGAACAAATAGATATCTTATAGTCATACTAAAAAGTTATAGTATAAAATAATGAAAATTACTATGTATGTGATTCAAATGGAAGCACCAAATCTGGCAAATGGCTATATAAAATTTGTTAGAGCAAGTTTCAGTACTATCTGTATATTGTGCATTGAAAATAAAAAAAAAGGATTGTTGGTAGTCACAATCAAGAATTACTAACAAAATAGGTCTATTTTCTATACAATTAGTTTATATTATGTTGTACTGTGTGAAATGACAATGAAAGAAACAAAACACAGGCATTATAACAAAGAAAATGGTCCTGAATTGTTACATAATATCAGTCCTCTGATATGGCAGTGAATGCTGGACAATCTTCTCAAATAAAGAAGAGAAGTGAAGCAACAGAAATGTGGTTCTACAGAAGGATGCTGAGAATACCAACAACAAAGTCTTAGAGAAACTAGAAACAAAAAGAACACATACTATAGAGAAGTAACAGTATTAATAGTGATAGCAATACAACAAAATGATGCCTGCATATAATATGGCTTTGTCCTTTCTCATATATCATAAAAAAAGAGAGGACAGTACCTTATCAGGACCAGATTTAGATAAAGAGAGACCCTAGGCTATTCCACTTGTGAGGCCCTTCCAAATCCCTCATTCTCACGAGTAGAGAGAAATGGAAGAGTAAAGCTTAGGATGATGACGGGTGTTTAAAATTCCACAGGTGACAATTCCTTTTCTAAAGATATTATTGTTAAATACAGTATGTGATTGAAAATACAGTGTAACCCGGATATAAGAGAGTTGTCGGGACTACAGAAGAAGTCTCTTATATCCGGGTTTGGTCTATTCTGTTTAGGTAAGTATGGGCTCTAATTTGGGACCAGAGAAAATCTCTCTTATATCCGGGTCTCTTATATCCGGGTTACACTGTAATGCATAAATGTTAAATTTTTTTAAAAATCTATAAAGAAATCAATGCTAGCATCGAGTTACCAGCTTGAGACAGAATTATTCTGAAATGGAATGCAAGGAACATTACTGAAGGGTTGTTTAGAGTCTACAATACATTATGACAGCATGTGTAAAAGTCCTATGACTGTTAAAAATATTATACACTTTGGCTGGAGGCCCCATGCTTCAGCCTGCTAAGCCTATAAGTAAATCCAGCACTGCATCATATAATCAAATTTGCATACATGTTAGTATACACAGACAAAGTGTATGATCACATCCATGTGTATGCCAACAACTTATTTCCCTATACAAAATTGATTAAATTTATCTAAATTATTTAAAATAATTAAAATAGTAAAATTTGAATTTACTTATCTCTTTTGGAATACATTTAAATTTTAGTTTTAGCTCAGCTTTCATGAATTTAGTCAGAAATTAGGTTGGGTGGAAGGGGCTCTTCATTTTTGTCAATCTTAGTAAACCTTGTCATAAAAGGACTGTCATACTTAACCATTTGCATTTGACTATGGACTGAAAATGCAACAATGAAAAAAGTGAACTTAAAGTTTCAAACAAATCCATACTTACAACAAACCAGCTGGTTCTATGGAGGAATGTCGTTTTGCACTTGGATTTGTGTCAGCTGTACTTTCTTCAGGGTCTCTTGGTCGTTTTAAGCTATTTGGCAATGATGGAGGAGCCCCACCATTTTTCTCAAAATAGTAATTTATTGCAGCCTGCAATTCAATAAGGTCTCATATAAATCTTGTAAAATTTATTCATGTTTTTTTTTTGTTTTTTTTTACTGTAAATATTTTTGTTATTTATAATCTAAAAATGATAAATTACAATATTTTTTCTTTTGGGCCCTTTATGACCATGCCACCAGCACAGTTCTCTTGAGTACCAAGTGGGAGATTTCTTCCAGATAACTATCAGTGTCAGACAGATCCTTACTCTCTCCAACACTCCTCAAATTGTTTGTGGAAAAAATTGTGTAGGAAACTTCCCACAACCACAACACTATCTACCAGTGGTAGACATGCCTGCAACCTACATTTTGTAGACAGTATTGATCTTATGGTGAACAGTAACAGTGAGTTGCAAGACCTGACCAACAAACACTTTGAAAAACCTGACACATATGGAATGGAACTCAACAGAGAGTAATCCAAAGCAATAGTGAATAGCACAAGCAACACTAGTGCCAGTGTCACCAAGGGCAGCGAACCACTGGAGAAAATGTCCAGTTTTAAATACCTGGTTGCAACTGTCAAAAGATGGCACCTGCAACACAGAAATCCAACATGGATCGCCACAGCAGTGATGGCCAGACAGGAAAAGATATGGAAGAGCAACATCAACTTCCATACTAAGTTATTTATCCATCCCCCTCTATGGGTGTGAGACTTGGACACTCCTGGTTGAGACAGAAGAAAGGATTCAAGTGTTCAAGAAGCTCCTCTGCTTCTCCTACTGGGAGCACAAAGCTAATGACCATATAAGGAATAGAGTCAAAAGTCTCATGAGCTGACAGAATCTACAGTTAAGCATTGAAGATAGCATGGTTTGGCCATGTCACCTGGCATAACAGCCTCTGCAAGACCATACTGAAGGCCAATGAAAGCAGAAACAGTAACGTAAGAGTTGGTCAGACATCAGAGTGTGGACAGACATGTCAATACCAGAGCTTCTGAGAACCAGCACCAACAGATCATCCTGGAAGAGATTGTTTTTTTTTTCAGTCCTTAGGTCCCTCCAATGAGTGTAGCAGTCAAGGGACTGATGATGATTTTTTTGAGTGAGAGCAGATTTTCATTAACTTACCACAAAAAAGAAAAAAAGAAAAAAAAAGATGATTTAAATTCTCCAAGGAATTCTGCTTTTAATTAATATAAACACTAAGCTCTACAAAACAGAATTTCTCAAAATTTCATAAAATTAAATAAGTGGAGGGAGGGGTTACAGATGTAAAAAAACAAAAAATGTTTTAACCACAATTTTCTAAAACAAACATTTCTAAAATAATTTCATTCATTTGTGAAAAAGTCCTGAAAGTTTCATTAAAATCCAACAATTGTTTTTTGCAAGATTTTCCAAATCAATGTATTTTTCAATGCAAAAAAAAAAAAAAAAAAAAAAAAAAAAATCTAATGTTCTAAAAGGATCAAAAAATATAATTTAATAATCAAAAATCCTTTGGTCTTTCCTCTTAAAGATTTTGATGATAACTCCCCCCTCTTGGTATGCTTATTTTTTAGCAATTCTGTGGCGGTTGCTACTTTTAATGATTTTTGCACACACATTCCATTTGATGTATCATTTTGTATAGAACTGAAAAGTTTGAATAAAATCATGATCTTTTGAGCTTTCAACCAATACTAATAATCTGATATTTTGATTTGTCAATTCTCTTCGGGGGGACACAAAGTCTGGTCTTGCTTTAAAATAAACAAAAGTTATTTTTCTTTCAATAAATTGAAATATTTTGATAAAAAAAACGAAAAAACAAAACAAAAACAACACACCTTTCTGTATTTTGGTCATTACTTTTCTTAAACTGGTTTCCTACATATTTTATTTTTTAAAAGATGTTTTCCTTTCAAATGTTGTCTATTTAGTGAGAAGTGGTCATTGAAGCTTTCATTAGAATTTGGCAATGTCATTCATCTTAAGACTTTAACATTCAATCTATCCTGTAAATATCGGACTTCAGGGTTTAATCAGCCCCGTATATAATCTGGCATAATATAGGACAACATCATCGCAAATAACACAGGGTGTCACACAAACAGCGAGACTTTGAGGGCTAATATATACAGGGGATGCTGAATGCTAAAGGGTTAAAAATCATCCTAGTCAACACCCACCAAAGCCAAAAGATATCAGGTTTTTTTTTTGTTTTTCAATTAATATATATACATTGCTTTGTCATGTTGGGAATGAAATAAAAATGCATGATGTGTCCATTTTATCTTTTTATCAGTTTTATAAATGTTTCAATCTCTTACTTATGCTGAGTCACATGGTTTGCATGAAATGAAAATGCAAAAAATTGGGTCAATGATATTTAAGAACTTTTAAAGTATTTATGTATTTTTAAGTTTAAGGACAATGAAACTTCATGTGGAAATGCTTTCTGGTATCTTCCCACCACTTTTTTCAATTTAATGATAAAAAAAAGTTGTCTTTCAATAATATTACTTAATTATAAATCTTTTGATTTTTCTTTCATAATTTAAAGTATGAAAAAAGTAAATCCTTTCTGGTTTGTGGTTATTTGAAGCTATCAAAATGCTCATGTTTTCCCTAAGAAAAGAAGTATAAATTAATGACTAGATTTTTTTAACAAAATTTTTTTTTCTTTAACTTAAAATAAACCAAGATTCAGTAAAATTCAATATAACAAAAATTCCCTGCTTAGCCCCACAGACCTGAGGCAGATGTGATTAATGTATTTGCCAAAATTCTGCAACAAAACCCAGACAGAAATGGTAAATGTTATTTTAAAATCCTATCCAGCAGATTTACATAAAAAGCTTACCAAAATGCCTGGTCTTGAGTACTTTAGAAGCATTGATTACATGCAATGCTTAAAAGGAAGTTCTTTGTTTAACAAAGGTTTTTGGGTGAGTACCTGATTAATCAAAGTCCCTATTTGGACAGTTATCCTTATAACCACACATACACATATGCCACTTTACTCAGTTTGCACTTGGCAACTAGGACCACACAGCAGTTCATTTTTGTTGAGCAGTAAAGTTTGCAACACACCTGCTTTTCGACCATTACATATCTCTCAATGCTTTAAGATAAAAGAATCAAATCGCACGAGTGTGATGGTTGAAACTTTTAGATTTTCTCATCATTAATTGTTGATGGCTTTATCAACAAAGTTTGTTCTTTCTTCTAGAAATGACCTGCCTTTCAGGAAGGTCACTCAAATTAAGTAAGTCACTAGGATCTAAACATTGCCTGAACAACAAATAAGATCTATGGCTCGTTGGAATGAATAAGAAGACATGCTGCATGATTCATCCCAGCAGGTACACAACGTAAAGATTTCCAGTAGACAACACAGGTCCAGTGAGGAAGAGTAATGACAGAAACACCTATGCCTAATTCACACATCCTTTACTAAACCGTAATACCAGTAATCATAATTACTGGCTAAAATTTGCATTAACCATATGGTGACCAGAATTACTGAATATATCATGTTTAGGTCACATTGGTTCTCTATGACAACAGAAAAAAGGACCAATCTTTATCATGTTATAACATCTATTAACTATTAAGTCATTTTAGTTGGAGTAGAGTATTTTTTTTTATACTTGGTTTGTGTAATTGAAGGTAACTTTACAAGGAAGGTAACTTTGAATGTAACTTTACACTTTCCTATCATTTAATTAAAATGAAAAATTTTAGTCGTAAACATTGCTTAAACATTTCATTGAAAAGTCACTAAGTATATTTAAAAACTCACATATGGAAAGCTAAAGAACTTAAGAAAATATCAATTGCATGTTATAAAAGTTTGTTTATTTTTTTACCAATAGTTGTTTTGTTAAATGTACATGTTTTGAAAAGAAACAATTTATATATTTCTTTGTGCAGAAGTCGTTGGGTAATCAAAAGAAATTTATTTTCTAAAATTACAAGAAAAATAATAAGTAGTGATTAAAATTCAGTTTTACAAGTTATTTTAATTTAAAAAAAAAAATCATTTCACATGAAAGGGGGTTACTAGGTGTTAGAGAATATGAAAGAGAAAAACAAAACAAAAAAAAACAAATACTATTAAAGAGAGAGAACAATAAAAGAACAAGACAATAGATAATGATTGATCTTCAAAAATTTAAATACAACGTCAAAGTTGACTGGAAAGTAAGAAGCCAGAAGAGAGTTCCACAAGTGACAAGTGCAATAGAAGAAACTGTTAACATAGAAGTTGGTTACATCTAGCCAATTCAACTGCAAAATGATGAGACCTTGCTGCCAATCTAGTACTGTGCTTAAATTCATAAAGTCTTGGTACCATGAACAATTACCATGAAAGTATTTATAGAAAAGGCACAGGGAAGCAATATTATGGCAGTGGGAAAATGACTGAAAATGAGCTGCCAGATCAGGACCAATAACATTATAGATTTATCTTTGGATTTTGAATCTCTAAATATACAACAGGAGTACCAGACTAGATGTGGCAGCCATATTCAAAACATGGATGAATGGTAGACTTGTGTGTGTGTGTGTGTGTAATATATATATATATATATATATATATATATATATACACACACACACAAGATTCTGTGAGAAAAATACCTTTGAACCCTATGTCTAGAATGACATATGGTACAAACTTTCCTAGCAGCAGACCTAGCAATTTATTCAATATTTCTACTTCATGTCAGTGGAAAACATTAGTCCAAGAAGGTACAATGAATCACTCTCCTAGAAGTTAACATCAGTCATGCTGATGAAACAAAGAGCTCTCTCAGACATTAAGAAAACAGTTTCATTTTGGAGGCATTAAAATTTTTTTTCTTGCATTGGTGGATGATCATATATTTTAGGAAATTTTAGCATCTTTTTGTAGTAAAAATCACATTGATTTGGAAATTCATGCAAAAATCAGATAGTTGTTGGATTTTGATGAAACTTTCAGGACTTAATTACAAATGACAAATTATTTTAGAAACATTTCAAGAAATTCAATTTTGGAGGGTTTAAT